TGGTAACGGCTCAGAGCATATCGTGTCCTCTTGATCAACGCGCAAACAAGCCGATCACTGAAGACATTCGAGTTGATAATGTGTCAGTGATCAGGGTTTTTTTAAACAGGAAATGAAACAAATTGCATATTTTGAAGTATTTCTTTTGCATGAATACTTTCTGTACTTAATGTCTGCTTGTGCCAACAAACCTTTGAAGGACAAATCTAGTTTATCACAACTTGGATCGGTGAGAATAACATCACTAAGGTGATTGCTAACAATTAGTTGATTCATTCATTGAAAAATAAGAATCTGTGATTATTTTGATAGATAAATAGTTTCGAGTTTTTCCAAGTAAAAATGTCTGAAATGATGGTTTCAGCTTCTCAGTTTTAAGAAAGTTCAACTTTCTCATCTGTATGATATATGTATATCATTTATAATTTGTATTATTTTGAACTGGAAGCTTCATTACACATGCACATACCCGCAACCAAAGCTGTTTTTCTGATATTTTATGGACAAAACAATTGACTAAATTTAGGACAAAAGATTAGATTAGCTGATTATGAAAATCTTTATTTGCTTTGACAAGAAAAAAAATTGGACAACATAAAAAGGTACTTATTCTTTTTTTAAATTTGGCCTGCTGTCTTTTACAATATCTACGTAAACCTGTAGCTCTTTTTAATATCGTAAAAGACTTTGGCCAAATGTGAAACAGAATACATACAGTTTGTTTTTGGGTCGACCACCGTACATAACTAATAGAGATAATGACAAAATATACAAAAAACAAGTTGAAACACAGCTTTGTTTTGTTCTCTCGTGGTTTTTATTAGTGTTTCATAAAAGCTCAGAGAAACATTTTATCCTTCAACTCAAGTGGAAAGACGGAAATCTCCCAAACTGAAGTTATGAGGTTACGAGTGTGTGTGTGAGGGTGTGTGTGTGTGTGTGTGTGTGTGTGTTGTTGTAGCTGAAGTCTGCTGCTATCAAACAGATGGGGCTTCTTTTTCATCTCAACCAGAGGAGATGCAGCTTTCCATCCTCCTCCCATCTCTTCCTGCTTTACTTGCCCACACCTTTATTCTCTCTCTCTCTCTCTCTCTGAGGTCCTCCTCAGCTCTTGTGGGAATGTACCCACAATGCACCGTGAGGAAATTGCCCCATAATGAATAGAGCACTTCTAGATTGGAATACAGCCGCAGGCAGGGACCAGACCGGCCGCTGAAATATTCACAAAGCTTTATTAACGCGGATGTTACTCCTGGCAGATGCCCTGCATGCGTACTAACAGTTGGCGATAATCATGCGGTGCCACTGGGTTGTACAGTTTATAGCAAATTATTAAGACTGTCGATGTAATGTGAATCCACCATTATCTCCAGACTCTGCAGTTCCCAGTTTAACTGAGATTTTTAGCGTTTTTCAGCTCATTGTTTTGGTCTTATCGCCTTCAACTTTACTGTTTTGTTTCACTCTCACCTCACTCATCAGCAGCAGGCTACACGACCTGCTCAGCGCCACACAGAAGACAGACAGAGCATGCGACTAGCTGGTGAACGTTAGTGGAGCATTTAGCTGCTAAAGAGACAGATATTTCCCTCAGGAGCTGGTGAAGAGCACACACAGAGCTGAATATTGGATTTACGTTCATCCGTTGCACAGAAACACAACTCCAACTCTGCACGTCCTCTGGTTGTAAAAAGAAGTCAGATTGTATAGAAGTCTATGAGAAAATGACTCTACTTCTCTCTTGATTTATTCCCTCAGTAAACATTGTAAACATGAGTTTATGGTCTCAATCTCTAGTTTCAAGTCTTCTTCAATACAGCATGATGTTCATTTAGTGAATTATGGTCCATTTAAAGTCAAACAGGCCATAAAGCAGGGTATGCTTTAGGGCGGGGCTACACAGTGATTGACAGGTCTCTAGCACGGCGTTGTCCGTGTTTTCATCTTAAAGAAGTGTGTTTTCAGTTTAGCAAACATTTTGGCCGCTAAATTTTGTCATTCAGCGATCGGTTGTACTTAGCTCCACCCTCTTAACCCTCAAAACAAGATGGCGACGGCCAAAATGCAGAACTCGAGGCTTTAAAATGGTAAACCCCAAACCATCGCTCCCAGTGACTATTCGCCCACTTCTTATAGACAGTCTGTGGTCTACCACAGCAAATCACTGCACTGTAATATGAATTCCTTTAAGCCCCTGAGGAGCTGATCAAATAATCTTTTTCTCTCCTCCATCTATCTCTCTTTCATTTCAAATGATATAATATCTGTCTGACCCACTTCTTAAACCTGACAAGGAGATCATGGATAACTTTCCCTCTTTCTTGTCATCTCCTTTCACATCCTGTTTTTGTGTCAAATTCCACACCGTTGTCACCACTTAGCACCGATCTTTACTTGTTCATTGAGGTTGCATCACTCTACGTCGGTGTGTGTGTGTGTGTGTGTGTGTGTGTGAAGGACTACGCTACCGCTGAACTGGGTCGTGGGTAACACGTTGCTATGGCAACTGCTATTTGCCGGCCCCGGGGCCAAGAGCTGCTTTTTCGTGTTACACTTTCTCTCTCTCTCTCTCTCTCTCTCTGTTCTTTTCTCTGTTCTTCCTTCGCTCGCTCTGCGTCTTTCCTCAGCTCCTTCTCTCTGTTTTCCTCTTCCTTTTGTTGCTCTGCTCGCTCTCTATCGATCTCTTCCTCTTCACTCTTCCTCTCCATTCACCTCTGCTTTCCTCTCCTTCCTTCTCACTTCTTCTTAATCTCCTTCTCACATCCTTTCCTTTTGTCTTTGTCAAATACAAACACAGAGCAAGCATCTACCTACCCAACTGTCCCTGTGTTTTGTCCTGCAGGCCACAGCAGTGGAAGAGCGTGAGCTTTAACAGCAGGGGATGTTAACCCTAAATTGCAGCTCTTGTCTGTAAAATTATTTCTGTCGTTCGTCCTGTGAAGTGTTCCCGCGAAGCGCTGCATCGTCACCTAAATTCTACTCGAATGAATAGTCCATTGATTTCCATTAGGGGCGGCTGAAGCTGCCCACTCCGGCCAGTCTGTTCCCCATTAAAGCACTTTAAAACTGAGGCTGACAAACAGTCGTAGCCGCAGGCAGACCGGATGAGAAGCCCCACTCTGTGTTTAAATGAAACCTGTGAATTCATCCATGAAGCTGCATGGGGCCGGGGAGAAGAGAGAGTTAACAGCAGGAATCATATGAGCGTTAAAATATCATATCTAAAGTTTTTTTCTGTAAAACAAAATGAGCAAATGGGCTCCTTTCGGCACCTTGAAAGGAGCTTTAGTCAGAGTCCATGAATATCAAGATTACATCACATGGAAATTCTTTGATTTGCATTTGAAAAAGCAGGATTACCACGTCACACTGGCAGGTAGACTAACATACTAAACCACCTGGGGAGATTGACCTTTTGCAGCAGTGTCAGCGCAGAGCGGCTTTTAAACAGCCTCCCGGTCCTCAAGGTATCGACCAGTGAGTCCATCGCAACCCCACCCCACCCCTCCCCCTCGAGGCCTGGCCTGTTTCTCGGCTCAGATTTTAGAGCCATCCAGCCTTATCAGCTCCACCTCTCCATCAGACCGCTTCCTTCATTAACATTAATAGGATTTGGATCTATTATGCAACGAGCCTCCGCTTCGTTACGCAACCGCGCAGTCTTCAGCACCGGCAGCAGGAGGAGGGCATCTCTGATTTATGTCTCGGGTTTTCATTCACTCAGACATGAAGTGGACCTCACTCTGAGGTCAGACACCTCAACAGAGAGGAGAGCAGAAATCCAGACTTCCTTTTAGAAAACCTCTCATTTTACTGCAGCGGGGTTTGTGAAATTTTGACCTGATGATGGTTAGATGAAAAGTCAGGGGATCACCAAAGTCAGTAGGATTCATCCCCTGGAGACCATGAATGTCCGTATCAATATTCACTCTTTAAACTCATCGATACCAACGTGGCACACGTAGCCAGCAGGAAGTACAGCAGGTTTAGTACAAGGTCTGACAGATATGTAACATGGTCAATTGTGAATTCTAGGCTTTGCAAACAGAAATATTCACATTCAACACATTTCTGAACATGAGTTAATGATGCTTCAGAGTTGCCAATTGGAGCAGGTTGTCGGGGAAACAGCAAAGTGGCGCACACAAGACAGTTCATTTTGTCTTTTTTTTTTTCCAGAGTAACTTCCTGCTTTGCTGGAGGAGCTATTTTTAACGGGTATTATATAAGATCTTGTGCTCAATACAACGTGTTATCTTTCCTTCATCCTTTCTCGGCTGTGATGGGAGCAGAAAGAACCGCTGTTCTCGTACCTGAACCCCCAATGAGCCATGAGCTCCACGCGCCGCCACCGTTAATGGAAAACAAATTTACTAATTCATCACCATCATCGTTCTGTCGAAACAGCTCGAGCGCATAGGGGTGATTGCGCAGCGTCTTTTTAAATGCACTGAAACCAAAAGTAAATGAAAGCATCAGTCTCACTTTCACCTGCAAGAGTAACACCATCTAACAGCAAAGACATCTGCAGTATTTTAGAGTCACGACTAGAAACAAGTGCTCCTTAAATGTCACCCCTCAGATGCCCTGGGAAATGGCTTTTATTTTGAAATAATTTATTGAGGTCATGACTTATTCATGCCTCAGAAAAAGAAAAACATTTGAGATGTTTCTTTAAAGACAAAAGGGGAGAGTTTGCAGTTTCTTGAGCAGTGCAGGATGTGAGCATGTAGCGCAGCGTGCATGCAGTATTCAGCACTCCCAGCTGAGCTCAAAGTGAACTCACACCAACTGTGAGAGATGCCATGATTAGCCGCTCTGAGTGCCTGACAGGGAGAAGTGTTGTTCTTCTCTCGCGGCGCTCTCTCGCAGCACACGCATGCTTAATTCAGCCCCAACTGTATGAACATCTACGCGGGTTTGCCGGCTTAACAGCAGTTGGCAAAAGGCCGTGGGTTAGGGTAACCCTAACCCTGCTCTCTCTGTCTCCCCCCCTGTAGGATGCTTCGAGTGCTGCATCAAGTGTCTGGGCGGGGTGCCCTACGCCTCGCTGGTGGCCACCATCCTCTGCTTCTCAGGCGTGGCTCTGTTCTGCGGCTGCGGCCACGTGGCGCTGACCGGCACCCTGACCATGCTGGACAACCACTTCTCCAGGGTCACCACGGACCACGCCACCCTCGCCATGGTGTAAGTCCTCAGTGCGGTTCAGTTGGCTGACGGCAGCTGAAATCAAGCGCTAAAGTAGCTGTAACATGCTTCACACTGTGTTTTCTTAAAGACTTGAGGAGCACAATGAATCATTTATGAGCACCATTAATAGTTTCAGCTTTCAAACAGCAGTGAATACTACTCCTGCAGTTATTAAATCTGTCGAGGAGAGCCACCCACGTCATCTGCCCTGACTCACAACACAATAAAACTAGTACATGTAGAATAAAAGCACCCTCCCTACACATTGTTTTAAATAGTTTGCTCTATGTTATTGATTCTTAACATGATGCTTTTCTCCTCTGTCCGCGTGTGTTCAGGATCCAGATCTTTCAGTACATCATCTACGGCATCGCCTCCTTCTTCTTCGTCTACGCCATCATCCTGCTGGCTGAGGGCTTTTACACCACCAGCGCCATCAAGAAGGAGCTGCAGAGCGACTTCAAGACCACCGTCTGTGGACGCTGCATCACCGCCTTCGTACGTCAACACACACACACACACACACACACACGAACAGCTGCTGCAGATCACCGCAGCCACTGACCCAGATACACTCCAAATGAAAGCCCTCTAAATGAGATTGAATTACTTTGCTGTGTATTTTATAATGCTCTTGCTTGAAATAGTGTTTATAGGCTTTTTTTTTTTTAAATGAACAAAAAACAGTCTTAATGCTGTACAAGCCAGATTGGCCTTTCCACTGACAAAATATAAATCTGTCCTTTCTTCCCTCTTCAGTTCATGTTCCTGACCTACATCCTCGCTCTGGCCTTCCTCGCCATCTTCGGCTTCACGGCGATACCTGTTTTCCTCTTCTTCAACATGTGGAACACCTGCGCTGCCATGAAGTCTCCTGACGCCAACATCACCTCGCCGGACTCCATCTGTGTGGACGTCAGACAGTACGGTGGGTTGTTCCGCCATCTAGGCATGTCACGATTGTCCTGACCAAAATAATCGGGGTTCTCGATATTATCCCGATGTTATCTACTTTGTTTCCCCTCAGTACCCTTTAAATGTTTATTATTCAAATCTAATAAATAACCACAAACAACAGTTATGAAGACTGGCTGCCTCCAAAGCTGTGTTCCCCAGCTCTTCCTCGAGTCCCTGAGTCGAGCCTGTCCTTTATACTTCTGCTCCGGCTTGGATTCTGCACACCTGATCTAATTAAGGGTGACACAATTTCACTGCAGCTGAATTGGACCAGGTGTGCAGAACTCGTCAACTTAAAAACTGGGCTTATAAAACCACAGATTTACAGAAAAACAAATCACTTTTATCCTACTTGTTCTTATCTTTCTTTTAACTTCATAAATTACAAGATACCAACTTTATGTGTGAAGTGTGAGTGTGAAGTCAGTCGGATGAACGGTTGTCAAGAAAATCACATTACATTGATAGATTTTAGTTCGATTTGAGGTGAAACTTGAAATGGTCAAATTATTTCTCACTTGCTGTTTTTTTTAATTGATTGCCAAAACATAATCATAGAAGCGATCCCCTCTGGTGTTTTAATTTGCAGGTTTTGCTAGCCTCGGCAATAAAATCTTTTAACTTTGCACACCAAACTAATTCCAAAAGGCTTCGCTCTCCTCTCCCCTATTCACCATAAACACCTGCATCTGCAGGCCCGGTCTGCTTTAAAGGTAATTTTCCATTTCGGAAGAGGTCATCAAAGACACTGAGATTATTGAGAGCCTGATTGATGAGAACCCACCTTCCTGCAGTGTTTCTGCTGTGATTGCGTATCAGTTTGATGGCCTAACGTCCAGCATGTGACCCACATTTGAAGGACAGCTGGCTCACAAAGTAGGACGAGGATCACATATGCTTCACTGGCAGTCGGACTGAACCACACTGCATGAAATATTCACCCCAATTACTGGCACTCGTCAAATTGTTATCGGAGTGAAAGGTTTTGATAACTTCCTGGTTTTATGTTATTTATAGTGATAATATTAATGCAGAGAAGAAAAAGGGGAAGGAGGATTATAACGAGCCGATAGTGAAGATGGAAAATGGAAATAATGACCCATATTTTTCCTGTAGGAGAGGCTCAGCAGCCCTGTTTCCTTTAATCTTTATCCGAGGCGGATTCATAATGCCTTCAATCACACAGTCTCGGGGGAGGAAAAGACCTTTTTGTCTCGCGGCACTCCTCTGACTCTTCATCCCTCTGATCCTGCAGGTGTCATTCCCTGGAACGCCACTCCGGGAAAAGCTTGTGGAGCCACACTGGGAGACATCTGCAACACCAGCGAGGTGAGAGGCCGCTGACGTGACCTTTCCTGTTTCCTACTCTATCCCTCCTTCCCTTCCCTCTTCTGATTGTCTCCTTGCCTCCACAGTTCTACCTGTCCTACCACCTCTACATCGTCGCGTTCGCCGGCGCCGGCGCCACCGTCATCGCACTGGTAAGCCTCTCGTGATCCCGCCGATATCTGGCACCCTCTCGAAAAAAATATGCACGTTGCCATGGCGCCGCTTGTTCCGTTGCCGTGGCAACACCGCCTCTCACTACGCTCGCCCAGTGTGCCGTCCTGCGGGTTGAAATCCTACCCTGCGGCCTGCCTCTGCTGAGTAGACGGGGTCGGCGTTTTACTCCGCTGTGGAGGCGGTCTGCTCTGTTTTATGTCCAGATACTAAAAAAGCAATAAGCAGATGTTGCGTTGGATGATCTGAAAGCCCTCGCTGTACTATGATGGTTCCCAGATAACCTATCTAGGAGGTGGGAGGAGATACAGAATAGTATTTAAAAAGAATACCTTTAAATGTGTATTTAAATATTTTGTTTGAGATTATTACCTTATTAATCACCTGAACGCTCAGTGAGACGATTTTCCTCACTCTTTAGCTCTCAACACCTCAGTCTGTTCACACTGGGAAAGGGGACTACATCAGGGATACTTACCCTCTTGATTTTTATACACGATTGTCCCACAATGCATTGCACAAAGGAAATGGAGCTCGCAGCCGCAAAACATTAAAATAAATTGTGGATAGCGGTGAAACAGCTTTGAAACATTTTCAAAAAGACGATGTAGTTTTGTGTCTGAAGTGTTTCTGGGGCTGTTTCACAATCATCCAATTAATTCCAGCTGCTCCAGCATTTCTTGTGTGCATTGCATTGTGGGCAAGCAGTTTCCATTAATGGCACAAACAGAAAAAGTCAGTATTCGTCCTGTTTTTTGCCTCATGGAGTTGGGTCACGGTACCCGTCCTCCTCTGCACATTATTTCCTGTAAATGTCGGTTTCTCTTCAGATCCACTACCTGATGATTTTGGGGGCCAATTGGGCCTACCTGAAGAGCGCCGTCTCCACGCACGAGTACCAGGACATCAAGACCAAGGACGACCAGGATCTGGAGGCCGAGGCGCGCTCCAAGGAGGGCCAGAACTCGTCCTCCTACTCATAAGGACAAGCGCTCCTCTCCCGCCGCCACACCTCAACCCCCCACCCTCCCATTTCACCCTGCAACACCCAGCGCCCCACATCCCCCCTTCTCTCCGTTGAAAAACAAACCACCTCGGTCATGTTTGATAGTCCCCCCCCAACCTCCTGATCCTCCATCCTCTTCCCTTCCATGAGGAGTCGTGGGCTCACACCAGGAAGGAAGAGAATAGACGATCGGGAGAAGCGGCAGGCCCGGTCGGAGGCAGGTGCTTCAGAGCGGGAGAGCTCGCCCCGCCGGGTTCGAGCTCGGGTTGCGGTGCACCGGTTCGGTGCTTTAATTTGGGGGCGGGCGGCTCGTGAACGTGGCCCGGCTGTGATGGCCTCGCGCCCTGAGCCAGCACAGCCTCTCAACACAACAGCTCCTAAAAAAAAAAAGAAAAAAAAAACATTGTTCACTGTTCTGCTTCAGCCACAGAGGAAGCCAGGCAGCAACCAACTTCCTCCGGGTTTTTTTTTTTGGTGTTTTATATGCATATATATATGAATATGAATATATTGTGCGAATGTGTACGAATGTTGTTGTTTTTTTAATACTCTCTGAAAAGTATGCCAGGTACTATTACGATCTTTATGTTTTGGCGCTCATTGGTTGTTTTCTTTCCTCCTTCTTCTCCATTTTGGACTTTTTATCGCTAACACTCGATACGTTATTGCACTATTACCAAACAAAAGAATAAGGGAGAATCCCTCAAACACACAGAGCCCCGCTCTCATAGAAACATATAAAAGACTCACATCAAGTGGTATCTCAAGGATTATGAGCATTTACATGATCCGAGTTTATTTATCTGCTAAGCTATCAACCGTTTATTTGAGACCAGAGGTGTAGCAAACTTTTATTAAAGGGATGTTTTTGGGAAATATGCTTCTTTTGCTTTCTTGTCAAGGGTCAGAGGAGGCGAACAGAGAGCTGTGTGATGTAACTCTTGGCAAGAAAGTGACTAAGTGTGTTCAGACCTTTATGGGTTTTGCTACACTCATCACCAGCGGCAGCAGAAAATCAAAGATAAATCTATTCCGGGTCTTTTAACACACACCTCAGGTATCAAACCAAATCTGATTTTAGCCAGTTGTGTTCTTTTCTAAAGCTTCAACCGTCTAAACACGACCCCCCTCGTCGGATTTGATACGCTGTCCCGCGTGAATTACACAGTAAAAAGCCGGTTCTATCATTTTCTAAACTTCCTCCTTTTGTGAATGAAGTTCACCTGTAAATATCTGAACCACCCTGAAAAGATCTGGATTCACACCTCCTCTTAAAACACGTGGAGAGCACGATCAGTGCTCTCCACGCTCTTCTGTTCTTTCTTTTTGTTTTTCCTACAGATATATGTAAATGTACCTTTTTGAGATATGTGTTTAGCACTCAAATACTAGTTCTGCATTTGGTATAATAATTGTAATGTAACATCTTAAATGATATGTCGTGAGAGGGATACAGTGCAGTTATGATATGATACGATGGGTTGAGGTGCTTGTGACGTATACATTTAAAAATGTGATTTTAAAAAATGGATTTTTAATGTTTTATCAGTTTTAGGCAGCTGAGTTCTTCTTGTGATTCAGTAATTATGATTTTATGGAACTCGTTTGTGCTTATTTTTTTTTCGGTGGCCGGCCAAATGACTGACTCAACATGTGAGTTGAGAGAAAAAGTCACTTTTCTTTTTCTTTTTATTTATCTTTGACGTCATGCCTCTCATATGAGCCACAGAGACTGTTTTGGATGTTTACACTCTGAATAAAACAAGTCAGGAATTTTCATACGTTGATTTTATAATCAGATATTGTTTAATAATCATGAACTATATTCTATATTGATCATCACTAGTTTACCCTAAAAAAATAAATCAATAAAAAAAAAAAAAAAAAAACACTGAACAAGACAAATATTTGAACTTTGATGAGATGAAGCATGTCAGTACCGTCCATGTGTGCAGCTGTCTATTCTGTATAAAAAAGGACTATATTGCCATGTGTGTTATGTTTGATATACGTGCTTTGCCACCAGGTTGATGTAAAGGCAAAACTTCAATTTCCTATAAGACGATGCGTGTCAGGGTGTTGTTGTTTCCTCGTTATTTGCATGAAGGAGACATGACTGTCTTTGCAGTTTTTCAGGTGATGTGTAGTCAATCGTACTGACAACTATGGTAGGCGGTGTTTGCCCCCCCTCTCCCTCTCCCTCTCCACCCGCCCTTTTCTAAAGAAAACTTCATTGTACTTTGATGGCATTGTAGTCCCTGTAGGTGTTTCATTATGGTTTTATTTTTTAAGTTGGAAATAGTTCTATGACTCCTATATAGTGATGATTTTTGTAACCTTCTCTAGTAAAACCGATATTTTTTATTATCGTGACACCGTTGTCTCCTGTCTCGTTCTTGTGTTTGGGTCTCTGAAGTGGAATTCATTTGAGTTTTTTGTACTTCCTGTTTATTGTAACAAACACATTATTCAAGGCGTTGCTGTAGAGCTGGAACTACTGATAATTGTAATGTAAAAAAAACCCAAAGATATTTAGTGGACTATCATATCAGACAGGGAAGGGCAAGAATTCTTTACATGCAAGAGGAAAGTGTACATAATCTACTAATCAATTCTCATGAATATTAAATAATTTGTTTATTCTACTCATTTTATTTCAACATAAAGCAGTTGACAAATTAATTGTACTTAATAAATTAAAAATCCAACATTTCTAAGGTTGGTTTGTGTGACGTCATCAAGAAGCAACTCCTGCAACAGGTGAAGCTGATTGACTTAATTGCCTCCTGCGTCAACACAACGGACCCACACAGGTGATTTCACTTATGCTGCCTGATTAGCGGTCCGCTCAGAAGCCTTTGAGCAAACCAGCTGTATTTGATTGACGTCTCATTAAGAGCTGACCAATAAGTGAAAACACCTGTGTGTCCTATCGCTGTCTTTTACCTTTGAGAGAACAGCTCACCGATGGGACCGTGAAGCCACCACACTTCTGGTACGAGGGCGACACCTTGTGGACAAAGAGGGCACTGTATTTCAAATACATAAATTTAAAAAAAGGACACAAAAGACTGATTTTTCTCCAGTTTCATTGTTGGATGCCGTTTAATTTCCAGTGTAAATAAAAACAACAGATAAAAAGATTCAAAAACTATAAACCTAGTTGATCATGTGACTGTTTAATCTGTCTAAACCTAAAGTAGTTCATCTCAATCTACTTTCTTATCTGTAAATTGATTCACCACATACATCATGATGATGCAGGGAAAAAACCTCAACAGCAATTCAAACGTTGACAAGTTGTTTTCTGAGTTTGTGTAAGACTTGAAAATCATTTTGAGGGTTACAATCAGTACCAAATCACAATACTTTAGCTGTAAACATGGTTGTTTCTGCTGCTAGAGGCAGAAATACTCCTCTCACTTCTCCTTTTGGGGGCTAAAACTTGTAACCACAGCTTCATCAGTGACGTGGCAGGTTGTCTCTTAAAGTACTTATCACAGACACCCGACACAATCAGTCACGACAGGCCTTTAACCCTCAGGTTATGTCCACTGCTGATACAACAATGAATCTAAAAACCGTGACAGTAATATTCCTAAAAAGGACCATCAGAGTTGGGAAATGATGGGTGGAGAGTTCTGTGTGGAAATGATGAATATCAGCACAAAATATTGTCGGTTTTGGTCTTAAAAAAGATCTTCCGATCCTGTCCACAGGTGTATCTTCCCCACTTCCTCTTTCTGCAGAGACCACATTTGCAGAAGCGCCACGCCGAGCTCTCCGCTCAGCAGCAGGTGGAGTCGGGTTGACTCTTCCTCTGCAGGTCCACTGTGTTGGTGTGAATGAGGTGATCGGCTCTGTCGTCCAGCTCCAGAATGCAACGCACCGCCTCCTCGAAGGCCGACGCCACGTTCGTAGCATCCTTGGCGCTCGTCTCAAAGTACGGGTGGCCGCCGTTCTCCCGGCACCACTGCCGAGCGTCCTCCCCGGACACCTGGCGCTCCGGCACATCCAGTTTGTTGCCCAGCACCACGAAGGGGAAGCTGCCCGGGTCCTTCACGTCGGCGTAATAGGTGAACTCCTTCTTCCAGTTGGACAGGTTGCTGAAGCTCTGTCCGTCGTCCACGCTGAAGGTGAGCAGGCAGCAGTCGGAGCCGCGGTAGAAAGGCGTGCGGAGGCTGCGGAAGCGCTCCTGGCCCGCCGTGTCCCAGATCTGCAGGGTGACGTGGCGGCCGTCCACCTCCAGCTCCTTGTTGAGGAACTCCACGCCGATGGTGTGGAAGAGGTGCGAGTCAAACTTGTTGGTGACGTAGCGGTTCATGAGCGAGGATTTGCCGACGCCACCGTCACCCAGGAGGATCACCTTCAGGAGGGTCGACTTTGACGTCATGGCGCCAGTGGGTCGGGTCAGGAGGACAATAGACACCACAAATAGAGAAAGTAGTTCCACCTGAGGAGCACAGAAACGGCCCCATTACTCAGAAAGCAAAGGGCAAAACGTTCGGTGTGTAGGTATAACTTCAGGGAAGATTTTTATTGATTTCTCCCTTCGGCCACACAGATAAAGTTGTGCTTGAGATGAGAACAATGTGCTCACCTACACACTCGCAACACTAACTGCTCACATATACCCTTACACCGATTAAATCTAGGATTAAAGCTAATCCTATTAAAACAGCCAACTCACGACACTACGCCATGAATGAACTTCCTACAGTGTCGTATATGAAATGATACCTCACATGGACACTGATCACAGGACCAGTGAGTCATCCACAAGTGAATCAACAACAGAAAGAACAATGAGTAACTCACCGTTATATCAGCACACATATCATTTTGTCAGCAATCTGTAAAAAAAAAAAAGAGAGAGAGAGAGAGAATTTAACTTTACAGATCAAGTTCACACACTCACTGGCTGAGCTGCAAAGAGAAGTGACTTACGGGGGTTTAAGCACACATTTAAATCAGCCGCCACACGTGTGCACGCTTAACATACCAGTTTAAGCTAAATGGCAATCATTCCACCCACATAGCAGAGGGAATCTGTCAGATGAGAGCGAGGATCGCCTCATCCAGCACAGTTAGATTTATAATATAATGTACGTGTATATTACAAGAAATAACATCCAGCATCCAACAGGAGTGTGCAGTCTGCAGCCAATTAGGACAACACTGGAACGAATCCACTGCCTGTTAGGACAAGTTAGGACTTCTTTGCAGAGTTTAACTACATGAATGAAGACGGTGCATGGTCACATGAACTGGCTCACACACACACACACACAGTCATGTGCTTCTCTCAGCAGACTGCTACTATTGAAATAGAAGGCTGCTCTTTGGGTCATGACTATTTCCTCCAAACAAACCAATCACATGATTTCATTCAAACCTACAGAATGCAAAATGTCCTTAATTACTATCAATAAACAAGATTTATGACACAACACGGGAACAACCGCTGTTATAACAGCAGTTTGCTGGCATAAAACTAACTTACAAAAGAGATAGTTGTCCCTCAGAAAATAGCATACACTTGTATTAACATGGCTGAGTATTGAAACGTCAATATTTCGAGAAAATGATGGAGAGACGCGATGCAAAATAAGGAATGTCCGATAATGGAGGTACCACCATAAACTGTTAACGTTAGCTTAGCTGTCCGGTAATGGAAGCGCTAACCATTGCACGCTGCGCGACTTTGCTGACCGACTAAAACATCAGAAAGTGACCATTTTAGCCACTGAAATTAAAGTTTTCTTTTTCCATTTCAGTAACTGTACCTGTCGGTGTGTTCTGCGTTCACATCCTCCACCTCCATCCCGGCAGTGTGCTGCTGTGAGCCGGTGACATGGCGCTGCTCTCTAGCCTTAGCGCCGCTGATGAGGCTCACATGACCCGGGGAGTGTCACGCCTCCTCCCCATCATGCGCTCTGCTGGATGTCATCACATCCACGTTTCATTGGCCTTGCCTGTTCTTACTTGTTACATGAGTGAGAGCAGATTTCTGAAACATATTAATTCATACATGGAACATATTTTAACCTAAGAAGTGGTTCCTAACAAACTATAGGAAAATTAACCTACTGAAATTGTGCATTGCCAATGTTATTGCACTGCATAAATGAGCAAAGATGATCAAAAGATATGCCTTTCTGCAGGCTTAAAGCCTCTTAATGTTGGTGAAGGAGCCCGGAACGTTGCACCTCTGTCTGCAGAGTGTTTGTTGTGCGAGGGAGAGAAGATATAAATGGCGACAGCACACTGATTTGACAGGCCAAACCAGCCTGAAAGGGTGGGATCTGTCACCCAACACGACACTGTAAAGATAGGGGAGCATCTGAAAGGAGACACAGAGAAGAGCCACAGTGCTGAGATACCAAACAGCAACACTCCTACATGTATCTGCCTGATAAGATATCGCAGACCTCACAACCACGAGAAGGGGGATTTTTTAAATCTTTGCACACCCCTGAATTATCCTCTTAAAACCGACTGCGTCTGCTGCAAAGAACAGAAAAGTCTCACTCCCTATCAGCTCAGAAAGATTCCATTTAAAAAGAAGAGATAGTGAAACTCTTCAGGCCTGTACAGTGAAGAAGGCCCGGCGATGTGACGTCACGATGACGTGTAAGCCAGTCATCGTGCCACGTCGACTGAGTGAAGGACCATGGGATATCCACCCCAGGGGCCGCTCAGGAGGGCAGATTACTGACTCACATGCCCACCGTTTTCTCAGGTCACATGCTCTCCACATGAATGGGATATTGTAGGAAGCTAGGCGCATGTTTTCTCCTCCTCAACAAGGAGTATAAACATTCAAAGCAATCGTGGCTCACAATCAGTGCAAAAAGAATACACGTTCTTCCTTTACATCAAGAAAACTATACGTTAAGTGATGTCAAAGGTAATTTCTCTGACCAGAAAATGTTCACTTTGTAGCAGAAAGGTAATGAAGGGCTTCTAGTTACGGATTAACTGGTGAATGCACATGCAAAATAAAGGATGCATCCTAAAAAATGTCTTGTTTAAACGGCAAGTATGCGCTCCATCCCGCGAGAATGCTCTGTCCCTTGTTTCCCCACCTCATTCCTCTGACCATTCCTCCTGAATGATGATGTGATACTATCTAGAGGCAGACCCAGCCGCTGTGGTACCACTGCTGGCCACACCCACTGCAGGTCACAAAGGTCATAGCGTCCTCGTCAGGGCCGCTCTGCCTCACCCACGCGGGCAAGAAAAGGGCACCCCTGGACACCTGCGTCACCCTACAGTCTGACCCCCCGCATCTCTTGCAGCGGATCTTCTGCGTCCGCGTCCCTTCCGTCCCCCGAGGAAGCTGCCTCTCGCTCACGCCCCGGGACGAGTACTCCTCCCTGAGCTGCCGGAGCTCTGCGCTGGCCATCTCCTCTGCAGACATCCGGGCGAAGGCCTCGGGCGACAGCGAGCTGCTCAGGAGGCCCCGACGTAGATGCCGGTTTTTGGGATTCCTCAGGTTGGCCACCTTGCTCCTCACGCAGGCTTTGTATTTGATGGATTGGTGGAGCTCGTGGATGTGCCGCTCGATGTCTGCGGCCAGCTCTGCGGCCTTGTCCCCATCGGGAAGTTCGGGGCGGAGGGCGGCAAGAAGGAGCTCAACACATTTGGATCTTACAGATGACAAACTACAGGATGCAGAGGGGCTCTCTGCAGGGAAAGAAAGCCCATCTTGTTCCACTAGGGATGACGCTTCTTGTTGTGCACACTTCACTTTGCTGTCACATGTCTGTGCTGACTCAGCGCGGGAGTCCCCCTGCTCGGAGACTCCTCCATCCTCGGCCTCGTCTGGCAGAGACACCCTCCGAGAGAGCTCAGGATCCTCTGTGCTTTTCGCACCTCGGGTGTCTTTGCTGTACTGTCTCTTCCACTTGCACAACAAGCTCTTGGCTGTCCTCTTCACGCTGTCATCAGAGCAGCTTTTCAGGAGCCCGTGGAGACGTTTAACGACGCCTGTCGCTTCTAGCTGCTCTGGCGTGATGTGAGACTTGTCGAGGTCACCGAGGAGGGTCAAGACGTCCCCATAGCTTCTGTCTGCGATGGATCTCTCTATCTGCACAGCACAGTGGACTATTTCTCTTGCATCCATGGTGGCTGCAAGAAGAGAGATATGACACAAACAGTAAAAATGAGATCTAGACAATAAAGATCTCTAACCTAACACACAAGCCTTTTACAGTTTGCACCATTCAACATTTATAAATATTGCTTCCTATGTTTGTTTACCAGCAATCCCTCAAGGTTTGCAGCTACTTCACACAACCAGGAAGCCTGAAAACGTCTCTACAAGGGAGCAGCCATGTTGGATCTGTCTCGAAAACAGGAAGTTGCCTGAACTCACCTCTAGATGGTGCTGTAACCTCACAGAGTTACACGCTCATGAGGGGTTTGGGCTAGTTTGCCATAAGTGTCTAATGAAGAAAATAAATGAGCATTTCTGACACCTATTTTTATTACATTTTAGCTTTCTTTAAATCATTTTGACCAGGACATTCTGTTTCTAAAGGATGCAGAGTTTTTCAATTGTGAACCTGAGTGAAGGGAGTGAATCCTGTAATCCTCCTTGTAGTACATTGTGGTGTGTTAAATCTGTTATTGTGTCACAATAACAGGGCCTAGCAGTTGTGCTGTGGTTTGTCTAAAACGTGTAGCAGGATCAGCTCTTTATGTGAGGATTTATTTGTGTGCATTTGTCTTTTCAGGTTACTGCCTTTTCAGAAACCAGGTGTGATTTCTTTGTGTATTTTCACAACCCTTTTCAATACGCTGACAATAACAACAAAGCTGGATTAACATCTGTGTCAAAGCATACGGAGAAGCGAGGGTAAGTATTCCTATATTAATCTGTATGATTATGACTATTTCTGGATGGTTGTGATGCTGTTAGAGGATTTGCAGGAGCTACAGCATGTTGTGCTGCGTGCAGAAACCTGCAGTCCTCACATACCAACAGCCAAACAGTCTGCAGACAAGAATTCTGAAGAAGAGTGGACGGTGTCGCATAAGATGAGGCAAGCCTCCTCAGCTGTTGCGCAATTATATGTTATGAAGGGAGAAGATGAATGAGTGTGTCGGGTAATTCATGGTTGTGGAGCTTAGAGAAGAAATGTTTCCGTGCGTCAAAACCACGACTAGTTGGTGGGCAGCTGTTAAAATGTCCTCAGAGCCAGTTTGATATAATAACACACTCGAGAGTGACGTGTGTGAGTGAAAATATAGAAAACTCTGCGTGTTTGACAAGTTGTATCTTCACATCTGTCATGATGGATTTGATGGATTTGACAAGAAGAGCTGGAGGCTTATGGCATGGCTCCACTGGCTGCCTTTGTGTCCACGAATCTGCGTTTTTATATCATTAATTCACATTTAATAGCAGCGCCATAAATCAAAGTTCACCCCCGTCACGTTTTATTTTATTATTCAGACAAAAATAGCTCCATGACATATAAATAGCTTAGCAGGGTGCCATTATGTAACCTGAGGTATGATATCACCCTCTTAATCTCATATTTAAAATGTGCTCTCAAGATTGATGCAGCAGGGGCCAATAGCGGTGGAGGCCCCTGAGGGAACGCTGACATGGTGTCGCTCCCCGTGACGGCTTCAGGCTCTCGTGTCTTCAAACTGCAGCTTTTAAAAAAACAAACAAATGGGAAGTGGGAGCTTCCAGGAGGCTTTTAGCTGCATTAATGTTTAACTTTTGGTTCTGAACGCAAGTGTGCTGGCTTTAGGAGTTTTCTGCCGGTGTATCCGGTAATGTGCAACGTTGGATGTGACAGTTTTTGTTTGTGTTGTCGTCTTTTTTGGTGGACTGAGGGTTCCCTAGCTCAAAGTGTGTGTAGCTTCTATATGTGTGTGTGAGTAGAGATGGGTGGGGTCCAGCTGGGCCTCCAGTGAAGAGACAAAAACAGAAACCTCTTTCGGCAGTCGACACACTGCAGGACCCCTTGCCTTTTGTTTCTCCAAGCACACACGACTGGAATACCCGAAAGGACACACACCAGGCTCCTCGGATCTTATCAAGTCATTTGTTGGGTACTTTTGCACGCTCCTTCCTGGTCTGTGGGAGTGGAATTTTACCAGCAGGCCCCGGCTGTGGCGTCCATTCGTCAACGGGTGGCGCTCTCTGCGCTGTGCTGATTTCACTGGAGAAGTGGAGTCCTGCTGTATCACATCCTGCTTTTGTTGTCTCCGCCTCTTGTGCAGACCACGCCACCCTTGATGGCGTGTTCGCATGAGCGCGCACACACACACAAACACACGCACACACATACACACACCCACACACACGTACACACACACTACCCCTTGAGAAACCCTGAGGAGGAGGAGGGCCTCTCTTGTTAAAGTGATCAGTTTCTTCATCGGCAGACATTCATGACAACATATTAAGTCCCCGAAAGACCCCCCTACAACCTGAAAACACCCCCAACGCACACAATCATACAGCACAAGTGTGTGTGTGTGTGTGTGTGTGTGTGTGTGTCATGCTCCATGAATGTGTGTGTGCACATCAAGCAAAACAAGAGAATAAAAGGTGGTCACAAAGATGGTGAAATCACGATTGCCCCCATGTGAAGCGTTTGTGTCTCTCATTCGCCATCATATTTCATATTAATATAGAAGAGCTGTACACAGACTATCGAGGGGGGGGAGGGGAGGTTAGAAAGGGGGGAGGGGTTGTGTATTTTTTTTTTCTTTTGCTGAGGGGAGGGCAGTCTTTTTTGGGAGAGAAGAAAACTTTCCCATCACACTGAACGTTATGTCTTCATTTCCTCTTTCACTTCGGCATCAGAACAAACAGTCGAGTTCAAGTTGGCCTTTGCTGAATGGGATCTTATTTAGCCTTTTTTTAGTTATTAATGGTGGAATGAGTTTTACTAATAAAATGATGTTGTATATGTTATTATAGCAGCTGGTGTATTTCTACTCTAGATAGAGAGACAGTTAAAGGTTGTGGTTCTCATGCTGTGGGAGGAAAATTAACTTCTATTTTGCATCTGAGCTTAATGCTCTTGACAGGAGGTGTGTGCGGAGAGTTTCTGTGTGACAGGGTGTGTGGGGGGGTGGGGGCTGCTCCTCACCCATCTCACACACACACCCATCATGACCTTGAGGGTGATAGCAGATGACTGAAGTGAACCTTTTTTTTTTTCTCTCTTTGTGTTTCCTTTCTCTTTGTTCGCTCCGCTTTGCCTGGCGCTCTGAAAGGTTTCTGCTTTTCTATTTTCGGGGTCATAAACCAGACAAAGTGTCACAGTCTCTATCTTGTGCTTATTAACGGCCTCGCGCCGCCTCAGGCAGGAAATGAGACTCCTCAAACATGCAACCACAAACATTGTTATGTCTGTTCTAAGTTCATCATAATATTGTCCCTTTTCTCTGGTGAAACTCTTGTCAAAGCCAGAAACAATAAGGAAGTGATATCAGCGTGTTTGTGGTTTTCGCTGCAGCGGACTCAAATGCAGAATCACAAATGTTTCATGCTGCCTCTGGCATGTTCTTGTGACGTGATGCAACTCTTTGTTTTCCACTAACAACCTCTGTGAACGCATTACACCGAAAGCAGTGACCTGGATTCTGAAAAGAAAATATGAGTATTGATTTGAATACTCTGCTCCCGTGGGGTACCAATCCTCCGTGGTTACAGCCTGATGTTCCCTCCGATGAGGAAACTGGTATCCACATTGATTTTGTGTTCCCGTGAAACCCCCTCTCCCGCACACACACACACACACACACAAATTAGACACATGCTCGGGCCTTAAGGGGAATCCGCCACCTGAAAATAAATCTCCCCCTTCTCTCCCCCTCACTTCTCTGGTCATTTCCATTGGGTGATTGAGTCTGAATTCCAGTTATCCCACCGTTAAGATTCATGAGCCTGCAGTGTGTGGACGGGACACTTCTTTACCTCTCCCACCTTTCATTCTTCTCTTCTACCCTTTTCTTTTCTATCATCTTCTCTCTCCTTCATTTCCTGCTCTTCACTTTCCTCTCCTCTCTCTCTCCTCTGCTCCTCTTACCGCCCTGCTGATTTACATTCCTCCGACATCCTCCATTTCTCCTCTCGGGCGCCTGTCCCCTGCTTTGCAGCCTTCTGATGGATGCCTTAGGAGGACCGAAATAGTGTCTGAAAAGTGAGAAAGAGAGTGGGATGAAGTGTGTTTTCAGACACCGAGCAGTGGAAATGCACACACACACACGCATTTACTGTATGCGTGTGTTTGTGCGCTCGCTCCCACAGATTCCTGCTTGGTCATGTGGCGGAGACGTTAGCAGCCAACTGAGAGCAGGAGTCACCCTCTCGCTCTCTCTCTAAAGTAATCAATAGAGACACACGCTGTACACAAACACACACTGTTTGGTTTGAGCAACCTTTTTTTGGGTGTCAAAAAAAGGTGTGATCACACCTACAGTTCTTCGTAGATCTAAAATAAAAATACTGAATAATTCCATCAACATATAAGCAAAGCAGGGTTTAAAGCGAGACCATGTTGAGCTGAGAGAAGAAATAACTCAATCTCCCTGAAGCGGAAAAAGTGTATCTTCCTTTTAATTAAAGGAGAAAAGGCTGCAGTGCAGAGGTCAAGCAAAACTCTCCAAACACGCCCGGTATGAACACACACACACACAACTGGACATCACACACATGTGATGACAGGCTGTCTGAGAGCTGCTGCTCGTGGTGCTTCTGCAAATAGTTAACCTCTGAACTGCTCAACATGTGGGGGGGGGGGTGGTCACTGAACTTCATCCCTTTCTGCAGCTAGAACTCCATTGAGAGGGTGAAAGCTGCTCTCACAATTAGGTTTGGAATGATGAAACACATCTGAAGACTCAGTGCAGGTCATGCTCTTTTCATTCCCCTTGGCTTTGAACTGCGGTCCTTTGATACTCGGTTGATCACAACGCTGCAGCTCACTTCCTCACTTTCAGCCAGCATGTAGCACTGGTCTCAGTCCAAAAGGGGAACTTTAAAGTAAGAAAAACACACACAGACAATGTGCTGGAACACAGCTGAGAGGAAGTCACACTTAACAGGAAGCTGGTGAGCCGTAGTGTTGTCTCGCATCTGGGCTCAGTAGCTTGTTTTACTTAAACTCAGGTGGTGAACAGTGCAACCTACGAACAAATGTTTGTTTTGGGACTTTTTATTTTGACTTTATCTTGAAATGAAATCTAATAAAATTGATTTGGATTGACAACAAGTGATATCGTTGTTTTACTCCACGCTGGTGCAGTGGTTCACAATCTCGCCCCGGCTACCTCAACGCGGTTGCATATCAGCAAACATGTGAAAGTGAAAAAAGGGCAGGAGGCAGAAAAAAAAGAGGGTAAAGATAGAGGAGAGAGAGAGAGAGAAGGGGAGGAGGGACATAGATGATGTCATGCATTTCATAGATCAAGTCAGCAGCGAAAACACACTTACGTCACACTTTTTTTTCTTCTCTTTCTCTCATTCTTTTAGGTCAGATGCCGAAACAATGAGCGACAGCTACGACGCACGCCTTCAATTTCAGCAGATGTTCAGCAATCTGGCCTTATTTGGCATCCTAGGAAAGAAAAAAAAGGAAGGAAGGAGGTGAGGGCCAAAATTCCACATGAGGTTTTTATCAAAGCAACACTGATGTGGAGTCAGCTGCCACTATCTGGAGGCTCTCAGGTCAGCCATTTTGAGGCCTGAAGTCTTGCATCAAGATAGCTTGATGCAAGGAACGATTTGGAGCAAAAAAACATACGTCCAAAGTCGTCCTGGAGCTCGAGTAGAGGTTTCTTTATCTGCCACTGACCTCCGAGCACAAACAGTTCATTTTTGACACATAAAGACACATTCAGCAGCCGCTCACATCTGACAAAACAACCAACAGGAAACAGAACCGACACATCCTTGTCTGCTCTCCGCTCGCTGTTTTCAGAAATAGTCGCCCCCGCCGTTATCAAGCCTGGGTCACACTTCCTGTCTTTCTGGTGCTCGAATTCGCGCAAGGGATTCTGGGAAAGGACTGGAGGTACAGGAGGCCTCACCCCCCCCCCCTTTCTGCTTTCTCCGCCCACCTCTGTGCTGGCAGCAGGAAGTCAGCGCTCCCACTTCCTCCTTGGCGAGAGCAAATGCAGAAGTAGAGATGGTTTGGGTCGGAGGAAGGTCACTCTCAGTTCTCTATCTGAACCTCTTCGTGGTCCTCTTCGCCCCTGTTATCAGTGTTCACAAATACTGTGAACCTCTTCAGATGAAACGATCCAGTTTGTTTTGTTTTTAAACACACACACATTTTGTAACGTGCGTCACACACAGAGTTGTCAAAGCATGAAATATGACCTTTGCAATGCTGCTGCAATGTTTCACAACAAAACATGTTCAGAACATAAAAAAAAGAAGATCTGCAGAGCAAGAGTACGATAATTCAGAATGCAGTGCCGATAAGATGCAAGGACTGCTGTCGACTGCTGAGCAACGAAGTGCCGTGAAACAGGAAGTCAACAGAAGTGCAGCAGAAGAGAAGACGAGCCAAATTGAAGATGCACGGAAAAACTACAACACATGTAACTCCCATGATGCACTGAACTCCAGAGAATAAAACAATAAAACAGATGAGAAGTATCCAAAGTGGTGCACAGGATTCTCAGTCTCTCTTTTTGTCATTTATCAAACCCTCTTTCTGTCTTCAAAAACACAGAAGCATTGAAACGACACCTTTCCCTTTTCTTTCTGTTTTATGATATACAGTATAACAAATAGTAAAATATCCAGTGATCACTTTGTCTTAATATAAGGAAGAACTACAGTTAAATGCTGATAAAATATAAATGGGGAAAAGAGGTTACACTGCTGAGTGACTGCTGTCATCGCCTTAATAAACACACCATTCCTCCCACATTCCTGAAACAATGGCTGCTCTCTGTACCAAAAACAGTGGCTCCTCACTCAGGGACGTGTGATGGAGTAAAAAAAAAAACCCAACCCACTTGATGTGGTCACATATTGTCCGTGTAATGGGAAGGTTATCTGACTGGTTTCAGTGAAACAGAGGAAGGGCCGGCCCACATTCTTTAGAGCTGACCTCATGCTTGGAAACCATTATACCCCAAAACCAAAAAGAGGGGATGTGAATCCAAAAACCCACTGAGACTCAGGTGGATTATGTGTTGCAACACATACTTTCTCTAATTATTGCTCCACGTTTTTTTTCCCTCACCCACTCAATGCAAGTTCTGCATTGAGTAAAAAACACATGAGCAGTTCCACCTTTCTCAAAAAACTGTGAGGAAGATAAACACATATTTAACATTGCTTGGAGTTTCTGGGGGCTAAGTGAAGAAGAAACTGTTTATATCTCACTTTCGTCCTCTTTCTCGTCCCCTGAAAGACGCCATTACTGTTATCACAGCAGCATGCTCATTCGTTTCCAAATATGGTTGCATGCTGGCACTTGGCAAGAAGCTGAAAATGAGGTAAGAGCGACAGATTTGAGGCTGTGTGTGTGTGTTCCATGCGGACGTCCCAGGAGGAAAAAGCTTGTTTCTGGACGCCCACGCTGTGAAAACAAGCAAACGGACCCCTGAGCCCAGGTGGAGTCCCAAAGCAGTGACAGTTCAAACTTTGAGAAGTCTACACTCGGTGCACCTCCAGTCACAAAGATGCCTTCACGCATATTTTTCTGTCAGTCCAGGAAGTCTCATGTATATTCATTTTTCTTCCTCTTACTTCACCTGCCAGAGTCAATTCATCAGCCGTGTATGTGCACACACAACTAAGGCTGCTAATGAGCAGGAATGCCCACAGATCAGTGAAACAGCACGACAGCAGTCGCTGCGGGGGGCGGGGGGGGGGGGGGGCTCCCTCTTATTGGTCGGCTGTTGTTCGCAACTAACGGTGCCCCCGTAATCAGACAATGGCAGGCCTGGCCACGGGTGTGTTAATAGCGTACAGTGAGAGGAAAAAGAACAGCGGGTTTTGGAGGGGTGAGTCCATTCAGCTGCCACAAGATGAAACTTTCTCTCGAGGACCAACCTCAAAATACCGTTTCCAAGAGTTACGCCGAATGGGGACGCACAGAACTGTATTTTATTGTAGGCAAATGGCATTCAAAGGTTGGAAAATAAGCCACATTTACCGCCGTAATGCCCCAGCTGTATAATAAACAAAGGTGTTACTTTCCACATATTTATACATTCTGGGCGTCTGCGTGAAGTGCCTCACAGGGTCCACAAAACACAACCGTCATTCATAGCATCCCAAACATCCAGAGATTCAGACGTCTCTCTTCATTCGACAACATAGATGGAACAGAAGCGGGTACAGTAATTCCCATCTGCTGCAGCGGCTCGGCCTAATGTCTGAGGAATGCACAACAGGACACGTTGGCTCGGGGAGGAGGAATGTTGGCAATTATGGCTGGTCTGGGTGGACTGTGTATGTGTGTGTGTGTGTGTGTGCATGCAAACCATTCCTCCACAATTTGTCTGCCTTCAATGACCTGCTAGATGGATGCAGGGATTACATAAGCAGCGTCTGATTGGCTGCTTCTAAGCATGACAGCGGGACTGGTCTGGACAGATGCATCCCGGTGGATTATGGGTAAAATCGGGAAGTTGCATTAAGGGCAGACTGTCTGTCCATCCATCCGTCCGTCCGTCTGTCTGTCTGTCTGTCAGCACTTTTGATATTAATACAACAAACAAAGAAAAAAACAATGAGATTAATCTCTATTTGTGCAGCAGATTTCAAATTCAAAGTCCCACCGTGTTTCAGGGAAAATACGAGGGATTGATGGAGCTGAGAGCAGATTACACACGATTGCATAAGGCTGCTGGATAACAGGACCTTCACCTGAAACCACTGATAGTGGCAGATCTGTGCATGTTTGTCCCCCATCTTACAAACCGCAAACACACACAAGCTGAGAGCGAGTCCAAACACTCTCTCCTCTGGGTATACGAAGCAAAATCAGCGGATCAGCTAGTTTGAGTCGCCGC